AACAATCAATTAGTTGCAACTATAGTTGACAACTAATCAATTAGTAAAATATTTACCAACTCAGAACACTATCTCCAGTATAGACAATAGTCTTAACCAGTGAGGCAAACCATACTTGGATACTCCTAGGGACAGCCAAGTGATGTCAGATCTATAACTTAGATAATTTGAGTATACCTTGTACATATGCTTTGATCTAATAAAATACTGGTGAGGCTACCAATACTTTCAAACAAAACATAATAGTAGATTTAGATTATAGATAAAATAGTTTAAAGCTTTTATAGTTTAGTAAATAAAAATATAATTGTAAATATACAAAAATATCTAATAAAAACCAAAGATATGATCTCATCTTAATATTTAAAAAAAACTTTTAATCACTCTAGTAAATTTAAGTTATAGATAAATAAAAATTTCTGTTTAAATAGTTTCTAGTAGTCTAAGTTTTATTCTTGCAAAAATTTGTAAATTGGCTCTGATCAAGAAATTACTAGTAGATTCTCAATACAAAATATTAATAAAAATAAAGGCAAAACCTCACCATAAAAAAAAAAAATAAAATAAAATAAAAAAATAAATAAATAAAAAATAAATAATAATAATACTCTATCTATTTTATTATATGTTGTGTCTCAAATATGCATCAGCTACAATCTTATACAAGTATTAATCTAAGACTAGAGTTGCAAACATTAGAATATCAATTAACATACGCTATAACATATATGACATGATGTATTGACGTGACGTATTACATTATATATAAATCTTATATGACATAAAGGATGACGTGAAAAGGTAGCTACCTTTGACCTTCTAAATGTCTGCAACTATATTTAAGACACAGCATATATACTATATATTTTGTTTTTAAAAATTTTGTATATAAACTTTTAACTATCAATATATATAATAAACACTCTTATACCTCACCAGCCCATATACCAACTTTATTATAAAATTCTAACCTATATAGCAACTTGTAACCAATTAGAATACAAAAATAGTTTTTTTTTAACTATAGTGCAGAATATCTATACTCAACACTTATACAAAATATTTTGATTTTTTAAATGTTTATAACTTTTTATCTAATAAGTTTTAAAAAAATTTAACCAGTAACTTTATAGAGCTATATCAGCTCTACATGTTTCATCACTGTAAAAAGTTATAACAATTTGAAATCGAAATTTTATATATAAATTTGTAAATTTCAAATCGTTAAAACTTTTTAGTTATAAGATTTTAAAAAGATATTTGGCACATATGTAGAGCTGATATAGCTCTATTAAGTTACCGGTCAGATTTTTTAAAACTTAGATAAAAAGTTATAACCATTTAAAAAATTGAAACACTATCATTATCTGCCTAATTGTTATATAGATATAACGAATATGTTATATAACGGAATTTTTTGGCCGTTTCAACAGTATTTTTAATAATATTTAGGGGATTTGGAATGGGTTTTTGGAGGTGTAGAACATTTTTACTTAAGGCACCTCAAAATTAGCCAGTTTTTAAACATAATAAATGTAAAATAATATGGGTGTACGTATGTACGTACGTATTAAAACTTTGAATCTAAGTTAATATCTGATATTAATGAAAAGTATATACTTTTTTTCAAGCTTAGTACATCGTTGTACAAATATTCTATTCTTCGCAAATATCACAAAAATTGAGTGACAAAAATGTGATTTTTGACTGTACGTATATAAAAGGTCTTATTGGCCAGTAGCAGTGTTTCGTCAAAGTAACGTTTCATTAAATAAAACGTGTGAATTTACAAAACACCAAAAAATCTTCGATTGCCCCTTCTTTTGAAACAGCACAATCTATTTTGTCCAGAAGCCGCAATGGCGAGTAGAAAACTACAAAGTAAGTATCGGGAGGAACCTATGTTCAAGGATCAAATTAAAGTGTGAAGTATTGTTGGCACGAAGAGTTCGCGTCCATTCCTTTATCTAATCTGGTATTCGTTTTCCTGAAATGTCGAAATCTAGCTGAAATCGATCGCGTTCTGAAGAAGGTTGCCGAAGGAGTTGAAACCTTTGAAGGAATTTTTGATAAAATTCAAGCAACTACTAATTCTAATCAAAAGGAAAAATTAGAGCAAGATCTGAAAAAGGAAATTAAGAAACTTCAAAGGCATCGAGATCAGATAAAAACATGGATATCTTCAAATGACATCAAGGATAAGCGTGCATTGATTGAAAACCGGCGTAAAATCGAACAGGTTCGAATTTAAAATTTTACAAAAACTTAATATTATGAATGTAATTTACTTACAATCTACACAAAATTTTATCAATTTAATTTTTTTGAATCAATATTATCTTTTGTCAAATGCAAATTTTAATTCTGTAAAATTGTTTTTATTTAGCAAATGGAAAAGTTCAAAGCTTGTGAAAAAGAAATGAAGACAAAAGCTTACTCCAAAGAAGGTCTACAGCAGTCGATAAAGATGGATCCTAAAGAAAAAGAAAAGATTGATACATGTGAATGGGTGTCTAATCAAATCGATGCACTTAGCACCCAAATTGAAACTGCTGAAGCTGAAGCTGAATTACTTCAAAGTGCTGTCAAGAAAGGCCGAAAAGATGCTACAAAGGCTGATCGGCTAGGTGAAGTGGAAAATACGATAGAAAGGCACAAGTTCCATGTGAATCGGTTAGAATTAATATTGCGACTATTAGAAAATGGTAACATTCCTGCAGAAAAGGTAGGTATTTTAGTTTAATCAGCTGCATATTACCTATTCTATTGGATCACTATATTCGGGAAAAATGAGTTAATTTATAATAATAATTTCCACAGGTTATTCAAATCCAAGATGATATCAAATATTATGTTGACAATAATCAGGTTGATAATTTCTTTCTATGCAACTTAAATTATTATTATATATATTTTATCTAAATATCTGGTTAACTAAGGAACCCGATTTCGCCGAAGATGAAAATATATATGATGAACTGAATCTTGAAGAGGAGGAGGAATTATGGGGCATTACAAATGAAGATCATCATAGTAATGACGAATCCAATTCTGATGGTAAATTTCAGAATTATAAATAGTTTGCCGTTTTACAAATCCTAGAAATTTTGCTTTTATTAATGCTTTCTATTTGATTACGCAGAACCACGGACGCCACCGAAGGACGTAAGAGTTAACCCTTTTTTTTTTGCACGAATGTGATGAAATTAGATAGGTGAATCGGAAGTTTTAGTTCCAATTTAATAACAAGTTATTATATTAAATAGCCTTCAAGTCCGGCAACGTCACCAACAACGAGAATTGTTGTGCCAAAACCTCCTATACCTGCATCTGCTCCAACAAGAAGTATGAATTATCTTATCAATAAATTTATTTTATTTTATTTTATTTTATTTTATTTTTAATCCAAATTATTGTCAGTATTACTTATTCATTAATTTCAACATATAGAAACTAGCAATCCTCCAGAACCATTATCACAACGTTCGAAAGAAGAAGGTATGAATTCTAATATATGTTTGTCAATCATATATTTAACGATCTATTAATTATTTGTTATTTGTTCATTTCAGATAAACAAAAACTTCCTCCACCAGCAATATTAACTAGTTCTTCAATAACATCTGTTAATAGTCTTCAGTCACCACCATCCACATCAGCTGCATATCCTCCATTAAAATCTGCTCCTCTTACTGGTCCGACACGAACATTAGCTGCAGTAGTAGCAAAGCAAGGCATAGATACAACGCCACCAGTATCTACGCCACAGCGTTTTTCTTCAACGACTACTACATCAACGATACAGGATCATTCGGCTGTTCCACCAACACCTACATCTTCATCGATATTATCATCAATTTCACAACCACCATCACAACAGCCACAGCCACAGTCACAACAATTCCAATCGCAAATGCAACCACCATCACAACCACAACAATCAACGCAAACTATACAACCACACGTTCCAGCATCGCCAGCTGATATTAAGAAAGGTTTGTGATTTTATCTTTATTTATTTCGTTTGCATTATTATTATTGTTATTATTACAACAATTTCGATAATAATAGATCCTTTGAGCGATTCTGATGATACCAGCCGGCAGCATTACCTGCAATCTAATGATGTCCAGGTTCTTATTTTAGAAAACACATTGTGTAAAGATTAATTCCAATTGTTTTTACAAATAATATATTCATATTTCTAAAATAATAGCAGAAACAACCCCAAATACCACTACCATCATCACAATCCATAAATCAACAGCGTGAAAATCTTTTGCCCTCACAAGAGCAGCCACAACCTCGAGAAATACCTTCTGTACAACCGCCGGCACCCACTCATTCATCAGTGCGTTCCATAAATTTATGTAGTTCATCCTAAGTCAACAATTATATTCATTGTAAAAAATTTTTTTACAGCAACCGTCAGATACAAGTTTATCCGAACAAAATAAAAAAGAAGGGCCTTCCCAGCATGAACCTCCATCATCGGCGGAAAATCGTATCCCAGCAGCGCTTGCTGATCTCGTACAGTCATATGAAGCTGCTGAAGAGAAATGTAAGCAGCGGGGTACCATATCACGCTTTTATATTATTTTAATTTTTAGACTTATTTTCAGGATATATAAATATTACTAAATATATTATTTTGGTTCTTAATTGTTTTATGTAGCCCTGGGTAAAGAAGATGGTTTTCATATCCAACAAATGCTAGATGCAAGTCTTCAATACGTTCCAGAAAGCTTAGATGCCGAAAGGTATTATCATGAATTTGGTTTGGAATAGAGTTATACCCAGAGTTATATTTACATTGTGATTCAATCAACCACAGACCAAAATACTATGCACCAAGAAACCCCTATCACACCTCTTCTTATTACCCACAAACACCACCACCAATATTTGACAATCCTGCGTTATTCGAGAAATTCGATATCGACACACTCTTTTTCATATTCTATTATCAGCAAGGAACATATCAACAGTATGTATTGTTATTTATAATTTAGACACCAAATCTTGATCATAAGCGATCTCGTGATTGAACTCATCCATTTTGTGGCAATTTTTTAGATACCTTGCCGCTAGAGAATTAAAAAAGCAATCTTGGAGATTTCACAAGAAATATTTAACATGGTTTCAGAGGCATGAAGAACCAAAAGCAATTACAGATGAATACGAACAAGGTACATATATTTATTTCGATTACGAAGGTGCATGGTGCCAGCGTAAAAAGACAGAATTTAGGTACGCCAATTATGTTAACATAAATTAATCACGTCCTAAGCAAGCATTATCTAATTTATTTGCCATCATCATTAGGTTTGAATACCGATTCTTGGAAGATGCTGAATTGATTTAAGAATATGAAAGGACATTTTAGGCAAATCATTCACTATCGTTGATCTAAAATTCATGTTTTCTGCTGCATATCCGTTTGTCTTAATGTAAGAGTAATAAATCGTATATTGTACAAACTTTTTACTTAATTTTTAAAGATATAAATGTACAAAATTTTGCTAGTGAGGTAGAAGTCAAATATATATAAACTCAATTACATACACTTATAAATGATATACGAATAAATACGGTCATATGCACCGTGCTGATTAAGTACAAAGAAGTAATGAAAGATATACTATTTAGCGTTGGACTGTGTTTTCTTATATATTTCATTAGAAATTCTCTTAATAGATGTCAAATTATATGTAAACTCTATAATGAACTGGTAGTTCTTATAGTAAAAAGTTTTTTATACATAAAATCTGTAACTATCTAGCTTTTAATAGAACACCAACTCAACTAGATAAATAGTCTAGATATTATTTTAAAAGATCTCATTTCTATATTGCTTATTTGAATAATTTAAAACTCTAATCTTTTATACAAAACTGCTATATATATTATTATTATAAACAAATATTGTATAAACAATTTCTAACTATCAAACAATATAAGTTACAAAAATATTTACATATTTATGCCTATATAACACACTTAATTAACTATATACAAATATTAATATTTGCTTATTTTTTTTTTATTTTAAACAATTGTGCTAGTATTTAATATTGATTATAACTAATTTTCACCCTAGGTGATATCACCTGGTATTATAAATTTTTTATTACAAGTAAAATAAATTTAAGG